TCAGCCTGCCTTCCATTCCTCTCCAGATCCCTATCAAGCTGGGGATATTGAGAAAACAAATAATAAGGAAGAAATATTATGGGGTAAAGTTATAGACAGTAAAGTGGAAGAATGAGGGAGGCCTTGGATGACTAGGTGGGACCAAGAGGACCCCTGAATACTCCACAGTACTATATATTGGATACGAGTGTATTATAGCCCTAAGACAATATATAATATACTGTATAATTGTATTTCATGTATAAATATATCACCATGGGCATACGTACAGTTTGTGCCAGATGTGCCCAGGCTCATCCTAATGCATGTCTAAACTTTGATTCCTTACCTTCCCATTACATCCCTAATAAATATTTAGGTGGTTTGGGTTACCATTATATGATTACAGATACAATTCATGAACATATCATTACATATCAGTAAATATAAATGTGGTATGTATGTATAAGAAACTGAAATGAGAAATGTACTCACAGGTCTTCCTATATTTTACTGTGGTAAACCCATGTGACAGAAAAGCGACGTTTCAAACCTACAGGATCTTTTTGAAAATCCACTCGATTAGATCTTGAATTATCCCCAATATCACATAAGATCAGATTTATAAACATACCATATCCAGCTATAGAGAGGAAAGCTGAGCTCCTTAGCTAACTAAGGTCCACACGTGACACTACCAGACCAGGTGTATGGAGTGAGGAGTCAAGTTTTAACAGCATATCAAGGAATGATGTTGTCAATGATGGATTTAAGTAGCTTCTCATTACACAACTCTTTGCCCTAGTGAAGTTAATTTTCCCACAACCAGCCAAACAACACCAGGAACCATGATTAGAGCTGATAAAGTAAAATTAAAAGACAAGTTTAGGAAGACTTATCGTATTTCTGTGCAAAGCCTAAATATGCAATCATTTGCATAATTTAATGCATTTAGATTGCTCCACACATGCTCACTTTAGGACCATTGCTAAGACTATGAGCCTTAACAGACCTTTCTGTAAACAATGAATAACTTCAGGTGACATAAATACACTCTCTAACTTGTTGCCTACTCTCCCATCCCCCAATGAATTCACTACTTGGTTTCTGAATCTTCCAATGGCTTTCACAAAGGCGCCTTTTCACTTCCAGTAGGAATGCAGAATGTCCCAATCCTGAATCAGTGAAGGATCCTCAAACATTGACCACCTCTCCGAAGCCAAAATGCTAAATGTCTTCATGCTTTATGGCCATACCAACCCATCCCTCTTCCAATACTCATCCTGGCATACTAACCCCCTGGGAATTGCTACAGGGAAACTGCTCCTCATTCTTGTCCCACAGCTAGATTAAACTTTATAATCCCTTAAAACAAATATTCTCTGCAGTAGCACACTTTAAGGTGTTTGTAATAAGGGGGGAGAGAGAACACATCTGTTGTGTACCATTTGTAATAATAAACGGGAGACATGTAAAATGTGCTAAAAACTGTGGCAGATGGGCTGGTGTATAAATCTATAATACCCAGAACACATTAAAGGGGAAAACCAAATGTATCCAGCCCCAGCTGTAAATAATGCCATTTCGGTCAATCAAAAGCTTTTTCTCTTTCTAACGTAACTTATTGACCTCCTGACTTTGTGGCAATAAAATGACTAATAATGTTCAATAATCTCTCGGAATTGTCAGATTAGCTCTGTGCAGTGCGCTTCCCTCCTGTCAGTGAGCCAGATCCAGCACCTCCCCCCCCTCACCCACGCCGGTGCACCCTAAGGTGCCCACCTGGGTCGTCTAATGGTAGATCCAGGGCATGCACTGTACAGAGGCGGCATCAAAGTGCCACCTAGATGGACTAGTCCTGCCACAGTAATTTGCAAAGTATATAAGTATTTCACAGAGCTCTACTTCAGTAAATCTTTTCATAATGTAAACATCGCAGAGAAGGTGCCATGAAAACACTATGGTCCAATTATATGATCTGTAGCTTTCACTGTTTAGTGGGGATATTACATTTTAAACTGCTGAGCAGCTCAAGAACATATTATAGTAGAGTGTAAATTGTCTGAAAGAGTATGTGTTTGAATGTATGAAAAAGTTTGTAATAGTGCGTTAATGTGTCTGTATGTGTTTTACGTCTGTGAAAGTATATGTAATAGTATCTCAAGGTAGGCATTTGCATGGGGATTTGTGTGGCGGTAAGATTAACTGAGTGTTTCTAAGAGTATTTCTGAGAGTGTCTTCTGAGAGTAATAAAAATTGAAATGTTCCTTTTAATATTACACAATGAAGAAAAAGGGAGAGGCAGACGGGAACTTGATATGTCAGTCTCAGGTTTCATAAAGGAGTCTGAAGGCCTAAGGCCAGCCCTGATGCTGATGATACACAAAATTACTTAACTGAGTGCAAACAGCCCAGTAGCAATGATACATGATTGTGTGGTTATTATATTATAGTTGATAAATGCCAACTGGCTTAAGCCAGAGGTAATTGCAGTGGGAGGACATTGTCTGATGACAAGATTTAAGTAAGATCAGCTAAATGTCTTGGAGTACGGATGATCACAATTACCTAATTTAGTGCATGTGCAGCCACTTGAAGTGATACTTGATAATAACTCTTAAACATTAGATGTCAGCTGCAATCAAATCCTGATTATACCACCTGAAGATAGCTAATATTCTTACAGAAGATCTCCTTTTCTTGGGTCTCTCACTGGTTCTGCACTGCATTGCCGAATACACTGAGCTTACAACAAATTGTCAGATAAGAATGGTAGGGTAGGGATAATAATAATAGATTATAATTATAGCTTTTATTTTTTTCAGAAAAAAACAAGCGTGGATTTAGTTCAAGTATCAAAATGTCTTCACGAATTGTGTGTATTTTTTATAATTTACACAGATTTTCTTGATACTGGTCCTAGCAACAGACACTGAATTAGAATTGCTTTCCTATTGATTTTAATAGTGGATAACAGGTGTTTTCTTCTTGTCTAGGTGATAGTAATATATTCATCAGGTGTTTATTTGTTCTTGGTTTTTTGCCCAACAAAGTTAAATCCCACTGGGAAAAAAAACCTGAAAGGGTTTATTGCAAACAAAATTGTGGCTATGGCTAAGTTTGAAGGGGTTTTTTGTTTTGTTTTTTTCAATTATCTCCTAATGTGAAATTTCAGTAAAAATATCATGATATTCTTTTTACATTCAAAAGCAGCACTTGTAACAACACATATATTATATATATATATATATATATATATATATATATATATGATTCCTAATTCTAAAAAGATGTGTTTCTGACAGCGCTAACATTAACAAACTGACTGTAACGGGCTGAGTAACATAATTGCAAGACCCGTAATTATACATCTGTAAAAAAGAGTTCAGCTCCCAGGTCAATGGTAATGTGTTGTATGTTTGTTCATGTGTAAAGGATGTGGTATTCAGTCAATGTGTTGGCATGACTACCCGTCCATTACTATGCATGGTATTCAACTATCTCATTCACCGTTTAACGTGCTTCACGGGTTAGTGTTCATGACAAGCTCCTGGCCACAATATGGCATCATGTTTTGGATGTTCAAATGGAAAACTAGTCCATCAAATATCTTAATATCTAATAGAAGTGAGATCTTATTTGTCATGTTATGTATATCATTACAATTTTATTTTAAAATCAATATGTGTAGTTAAGCATTAACGAGCCAAGTAACCCAACAACCTCAATATTATCTTAAAGTTTAATTTTTGATTGTTCCAACCAACATGTTGAAACAATGCTTGGATTAATATAAGCTTTGATGAAACCATTTAAAAATGTTCATATTAAACAAATAACAATAGCAATTAATATTAAATATTAATATAAACATTTTTAGACTCAATGTTGTAATTAAAAAAAAAATTATATAGGTTTTGTTTATTCATGCTCATTGATCCAATGCATATGAGGGAACATTGTTCTGTGTTTGTACTACTCTATCTGCATACAATAATAAAGCAACATTTTCAGTTTTACATCAGAATCCAAAGGGTTTTTTTTTTGCACTCTCTTGTTTTCTATATACCTTGTATTTATTTCTATATACCGTGCATGCATTTATTTTAAAATTAAAAATGTTGTCACTGGCTTTCAAAACTGCTAATCATTGATTTTTTTTTAATTCACTTTTTATTAGAACTTTAAGGTGTCTAAGAAAATATTGGGGTACAGAAAATAAAAATGAATCATTGATTTTATAGTTGAATCATATTGAACTAGGCATTTCATTAAAAATATAAAATTGGCTATATAAATTAGTTAAAATGAAATAATAAGGGGGGCGGAGCTAGCTGCCATACTGACTGGACCGAAAACAAGACAATTCAGCAAAAACAAAAAAAGCCCTAATACCTGCTTTTTCGGCACAATACCTGAATGCCAAAAGAGAGGAATCGCACCTACTAACGATGGGGCGGAAAACAAAGAAATATAAAGCGGATAAAATCCCGACAACCGCCGACATCGGAGATCTCCTGAGGAGGCCACAGGGAGCAATGAAGCCTGTCATGGCGCCTCTATCCGACGGGCTATCTTACTAATCCAGCAAAACATCCCTCCCTGACATGGAGGAGCTGGCCACCATCGCTAGAAGACCAAGAGCGGAAATACCTGCAAAATGGTCAGAGGGCTCACCAGTGACGGATGGAACATTGAAGGCCCTCCTACATGACCTACGCCGCAATCTAGCTGCTGATATTAACTCCTTCAAAGAGGAGATTAGCGGAGTGTCGCGGCGCCTCCAAGACGCAGAGATAACTACGGCCGCGCATGAGACCCGCCTAAACACCATGGAACAAGAGATAAGTGAGCTGTGACATGTACAGGCTCAGACCCAGAACCGCATGGCGATGATGGAAGACCAGAGGAGATGGAAAAACATTAAGATAAGGGTCATGCCAGAACAGATCAGCATAGCTGAAATCCCTCACCTAGTCAGGAGGTTACTCACACACCTCTTCTCAGCCAAGCAGGCCAAAATGAGGGCCCTGGATGGGTGCTTCAGACTACCGGCGCCTACATCACGCTCCACAGAGGTGAACAGGGATGTCATCGTCCGCTTCCAGAATGGGCCGGACAGGCAAGCGTTCCTAATGTCGTTGTGGAACAAATCACCATACGACTTCGAAGGTCACACGCTAACGTTTTATCCAGACCTATCCAGGGCAACATTGGAGTGGCGCAGATCCTTAAAACCGCTGACAACAGAACTGGTACGACACAACATACCTTATAAATGGAGCTCCCCAAAATGTTTACTGATACCCCGGGACTCAGGGAACTTAAAAATCCAAGAGGCCACGGAAATCAAAAGCACCTTGCAGCAACTGGAACTGCCCATGACACCAGAGGGAACGATACCGACAACCCAAGTGCCGCAACCACACACCTGGGATCCAGCTAAGGTTCACTCATTTGTGCCGGCTGCCAAACAAAGCAACTCTGCTTCGGCAGCTATATCCTGAAGAACTCTCTAAATCGTAATACCTCTTTAATTCATGACAGTTCATGCTATGTTCTGCTTATAATTGTTTGTTTCACTGTTTAAATGATGTTTTAATCTTACCTAGACCCTGACACTACACATCTGCTGGCTTAAAGGGCTCTACCTCGTAACACCTCCCTTCTTCCCCCCCCCCCAACTGTGCTGTTTGTTAATGCCATGCCTTTGTTTGTTATGGTAAATTCAAGGTACTTGCACCTGCTGTCGTGGCAAGGCAAGTATTGTTGCACACACACACACAAAAAAAAAGAAATAATAAAACACAATAATGACTTTGATAGAACTGCACACACTATATATATAGATATATATATGGATTACATCAAGCATGTCAAACTCCAAGACTAGCACAGGCCAAATAAACAAGGTTTAAGTTTATGTGGGCAGCAAAAAAAAATAAATTGTTCAACCTAGACCAACACAAACTAAAATTACTTGTATCATTCTCATGCAAATAATATGTAATTCTGGGTACATATATGTAATTTATTCAAAAGCTTCACTTCAAGTTACTTACTATGCCTCCCCAATCTAATACACAGCCTCATGCGGCCCCGTCCTCTATTCTAATACACTGCCCCACCCCCCATTCTTATACACTGCCCGACACTCTAATTTAATACACAACCCCCACTCCCACCACTCTAATAAACAGCCCCCTCCCTCCCACCACTCTAATACACTGCTCTCTCCCTCCCTTCCCCCTATATAACTCACTGCCCTCTCATTCCCCCAATTTAATACACTGCATCTTCACTGTAATACACTGTGCCCCTCCTTCCTCCCAATTTAATACACTGCCCCCTCACTCGAATACATTTCCCCACCTGCCTCCCCAATTTAATACACTGCCCCCTCCCACCACTCTAATACACTGCACTCCCCCTTCCTCCCAGCTTAATACACTGCCCCACCTCCCTCCCACCAATTTAATACACTGCCTCACTTCCCTCCCACCAATTTCATATTGCCTCACCTCCCCCCACCAATTTAATACACTGCCCCCTCACTCTAATTCACTACCCCACCTCCTCCCACTAATTTAATACACTGCCTCACCTCCCACCCACCTTAATACATTGCCCCCTCACTCTAATTCACTGCACCTTCCTCCCACCAATTTAATACACTGCCTCACTTCCATCCCACCAATTTCATATTGCCTCACCTCCCCCCACCAATTTAATACACTGCCCCCTCACTCTAATTCACTACCCCACCTCCCTCCCACTAATTTAACCCCTTAAAAGGACTGGCAGAATAAGGGAATCATGGCCGGAATATTTCCGTCATGTGTCCTGAGTTAACTCTACCTCACCTCCCGCCCCTGCTTACATACATTGCCCCCCTCACTCCTAATTCACTGCACCTTCCCTCCCACCAATTTAATACACTGCTCCTCCCTCCCACCAGTCAATACATTTGCCTCCTCCTAATTCACTGCCTCACCTTCCTCCCAGCAGTTTAATGCTCCTGCCCCCTCATTCTAATTCACTGCCCCACCTCCCTCCCACCAATTTAATACACTGCCTCACCTCCCTCCCACCAATTTAATACACTGCCCCCTCACTCTAATTCACTGCCTCATCTCCGTCCCACCAATTTAATACACTGCCTCACCTCCCACCCACCTTAATACATTGCCCCCTCACTCTAATTCACTGCACCTTCCTCCCACCAATTTAATACACTGCCTCACCTCCCTCCCACCAATTCAATACATTGCCCCCTCACTCTAATTCACTGCCTCACCTTCCTCCCAGCAATTTAATACTCTGCCCCCTCATTCTAATTCACTGCCCCACCTCCCTCCCACCAATTTAATACACTGCCCCCTCACTCTAATTCACTGCCTCATCTCCCTCCCACCAATTTAATACACTGCCTCACCTCCCGCCCACCAATTCAATACATTGCCCCTCACTCTAATTCACTGCCTCACCTTCCTCCCAGCAATTTAATACTCTGCCCCCTCATTCTAATTCACTGCCTCATCTCCCTCCCACCAATTTAATACACTGCCTCACCTCCCACCCACCTTAATACATTGCCCCCTCACTCTAATTCACTGCACCTTCCTCCCACCAATTTAATACACTGCCTCACCTCCCTCCCACCAATTCAATACATTGCCCCCTCACTCTAATTCACTGCCTCACCTTCCTCCCAGCAATTTAATACACTGCCTCACCTCCCTCCCACCAATTTAATACACTGCCCCCTCACTCTAATTCACTGCCTCATCTCCCTCCCACCAATTTAATACACTGCACCCTCACTCTAATTCACTGCCCCACCTCCCTACCACCAATTTAATACACTGCCTCACCTCCCTCCCATCAACTTAATACACTGCCTCACCTCCCTCCCCACATTTTCATACACAGCCCTCCCTCCCACCACTCTAATACACTGCCCTCCCACCCACCCCAGGCTTCTCTTCCCCTACCTTAAGCCGTCATCCAGTCCAGCCCTGCACGATCTGCTCTGCCAAAGCAGGCCACACGCTCCTCTGGCACTGTGAGCAGCAGGGAAGGGGGAGTGGCTGCCTGCTTTACACAGAGTCAGCTCCTCTGCACACTGTAATGTTATCACTCAGCCGCCATATATGACTGCATATGCTATATTCACATATCTGGTGGCCGGCATGGAAGAATGTTTTGCTCAGGCTGGCAGGTCATAGGAGCACGTGAGAGGGCCACAGCACAAAGCAGCCTCAGGGCAAATTTTCTGGTATTTGCGGTGGTATCGCCCTGGGCCGCAAATATACTCATTGTGGGCTGCATGTTTCACATGCTTGGGTTACACACAAAAATTATATTGGTGTTGATGCCAAGCCAAAGTGTGTTAAAGTATACCTGACTGATGTATTAACACACATATCACATACCCTTATAGGTAAACATTTATACAAATATTGTGCACTGTGTTATAGATTAATTTACACCATTACTGAATGACACAATAAAATTTGCGTTTTATTTTTAGCGCTTATAAAATCAAGAATCATATTCACATGAATATTCCATATGGAATGGCATTGTTGGATATTGCTGTAATTTTTTCACATTATTTGAAAGTAAATAACCTGTATCAATATCATATTGTCTGGACATCTGTAGTATGCATATGGGACCTCACTACGAGTTATAAAGGGCAACCAGTTCCATTGGGTATAAAAAGAATGAACATCGAGTAGAATGTAAATATTTAAGTAGCATTTATCATTATGGCTGAACTTATATAAAACTCCACATAATGCAAAAAAGTAATGCATCACTATAAGATGGGCAATGACTATATAAAATATTCAATGTCACCAGTTTACACTATATTATCCATCATTACAACATAAAAGGCCATTTGCATCTGTGCCTGGGAGAGAAAACTCAAAAATATCACCATCATTTGCTTTGAGAAGAACTACTCAGGAGGCAGATAATCCCCACGAAAATTTGGCATTATCACAACATAACAATAGAGGTGTGATTGTCACATAAAATGATTGTTGATCCGCACATAAAAATGTGGTTAGTGGCATTTACTGTCCTGACAGGAAAAGTTGTGCCGAGCAACATTACCGTCCTGATAGAAAAGTTGTACCAAGCAGCAATCATGCACATGGAAACCTGGTAATTACTTTTGGGGTCAAAGGCCGGTCATGGCCAATAAAATCCACAGGAGAGTTTGTGCCGAGCAGCAATCATGCACATGGAAACCTGGTAATTGCCTTAGGGGTCAAAGGCCGGTTACAGCCAATCGGATCCACGGGAGGGGTATTTAAACCCAGCTCTCCTCTTTCTCATTGCCCTGTCATTGTTTCATGCCTATGGTTATCCGAGTGTGCGTTCCTGATCTTGATTTTCTGGGATTTGACTTTGGCTTTGTTTTGACTTCCCTGATATCTGGTATCCTTGACTTTTGGCTTTCCCTCATCTTTGTGTCTGATTCTGTGTCCCTGCCCCTGACCATTATTTTTACTATTCTTGGAGACGTTAAGTCCAGCTATTCTAAAGTCCGGTTATACATTATCCTTAGTCCTAGGTGTGACAAAGTACTGCATGCTGGATCAACTTGTAATCCTGACATTATGACATGGCCATAGATCCTGCAGAATTGTGTCAGAGAAAGCTAGAGGAGAATGATCACCGTATGGATCCGTTTGCCCAGGCTTTTAGCACGCTCCTTACTAGGACGGCTCATTTACAACCTGAGGCTTCTCTAGTTATGTCACCACTGCCTAATGTACCTCCACCTATAGTATATAAGGCACCTACAATCTCCTTATCTCCTCCTCTGCATTTTTCTGGTAATATCCAGGAATGTAGGGGATTTTTTAGGGAACTCATTGTTACCAGGAATTCCTGGTGGAATTCAAACTGACGTTTGAACCATTAGGCAGAGAGGAAGATGCCTCCACTGCCCTAATGCATATCAAACAAGGGAATATCGGATTATGCCATAGAATTTTGTACCTTGGCATCTGAGGTAGACTGGACTAACAACGGATTAATCGCTGATTTAAAAAAAGGATTATCCGAAGTTATACTTGATGAAATTGCAGCCAAAGAGCTACCTACGCTGTTAAATGACTTTATTACCTATGTGATATAGATCGATAATAGACTCAGGACCAGGGAAATTACTAGAAACAGAACTAGACGTTTGACTATGTCACTAGGACCTGTGCTTATATTGTGGCAAGAGGCTTTTGAGCTTAAATGTTCGCATCTGCTGACATATTAAGACATCCTGACACTAGTAAATCTTTCCTACTTGAGGTTGACGCCTCCGAGACAGGGGTCGGGGCTGTTCTTTCTCAGAAAGAGAGTCAGGATGCCCCTTTGCATACTTGTGGTTACTTCTCCAGAAAGTTGTCTCCTGCCGAGCGTAACTATGACATTGGTAATAGAGAACTGTTAGCCATCATACTAGCACTTAAGGAATGGCAACATCTTTTGG